GGTGGTTTAGAAGACAATGTATGGTGGTTCGATATTTTGTCTGTGTAGTGAGATATTAATTTGCGACGGTCAGATATCAGTCTGTGTATTGTGGATATTTGACTGTGATGGCGAGATATTACATTTTTAATGACTGGATATTGGTTTGATACGGTGCGATATTAGTTTGGATGGTGTGAATATTTTTTAGGGTTTAGAGTGAGAGTTGGTTTGATGTAGTGGTATTAGTCTATGATGTTGAGGATATTAATTATGGACTGACTGGATATTGATATTAGACAGTGTGATATTAGTCTGGGTGGTGTGGATATTTGTTATGCTGAACTGATATTAGTGTGAGTGGTTTGGATATTTGTTTAATGTGAATGTTTATCCATGTTTGTTTGTGTTGATATTGAGTTTAAACAAATCCATATAAAACAAAATCGTTTTTCGACAAACCGCGATACAACTAGTATTAATGTCATTCCAATCCAGAAAGCCCGAAGCAATATCTATTAATGAAGGAAATATTATCCTGATATATCAAAGTATTATATGCTCATGTAGCAACTATTATCCCTATATACCAGACTAGTATCTTGTCATTCAACAACTATTATTCAGAAAGCCCAGAGTAATATCTGTGCATGAAGCTACTATTATCCATACAGCCCTGACTACTATCTACTTAACCTGTGCTTTCATTACAATATCCATCATCAAAAGAACTACAATCCAGAACATAAAGAACAACCATCCATTATTAAAAAAAATGTTATTCAATTTCTTGGTCCTCATATTCCTCTGACTCACTTTCATGTGGGTGTTTGCCACAGTTAGGTCTTGAGGATTCGCCTTCTACTCGCTACCTCTTTGCAGTTCCTTTAGTTCTTGTCATTTGATTTTCCTGCACAGAAAATATCCTGACATAAGCTAACTAATATCTGGACTTCACATTAACTATATCCATAACATTCAGAAGTAATATCAATGAAGTCATATCCACATTCGTCAAACAAAAACTCAGTCTATCATACAACTGATATCCTTAAAGATGACAACTAATATCAATGAGGTGATATCCAAATACATCTAAAGAATATCCATGAAAGTATACAACTAATATCACTACTCATCAAACTAATATCAATGAATTGACATCCAAATACAACAGAAAACTATCCAGTCGAGTTTATACTAATATCCCAAATCCACAAAAAACCTAGCATCCCATGCCACAGAAAACAAATCCAGAAACTCATCCAAAATAACGAAGCAAAAGAAAGAATCCAGATCCAGTGGTTTCCATGAAATTAGAAAACAAATCCATAAAATCCATAAAAACCCATTAAAAAATCGAAGCAAAAAAATCCAGATCCAGCTGTTTCCATGAAATCAGGAAAAAATCCATAAAAACCCATTAAAAATTGAAGTAAAAGAAAAACCCAGATCTAGTCGAATCCATGAAACCCAAGATCAAATATATGCAATCCAACGAAAGGAGAAGGGGAAGGAGAAGACGTCTACCTCAACGGCGTCAGTGGCCTTCTTTTTCTTTGTTCAGCGACTGCTACGATAGTCGAATCCGCCTTCACCACAGTGGTGCCGTCAAAATCGTCATTGTTGCAGCCTTGAATGTCGTCGCCGCCGTCGCCGGTATGGGGAAAGGAAGGGGAGAGAAAGTGTTTTCGGGAGAGAAAGTGTTTTTGAATTTTGGAGAGAGAGTGAAAGTGAACGGATAGAGAAATATCAAAGAGAGGAGGGAGGGATTTGAGTAGATAAAATCAATTGTGTTTTTTGAATTTGTGGACCAAGTGGACCCCACTTTTTTGTTTTAGAGTGTCTGGGCTTTGTCCAGCCGATGGACTCGGCTCTCCTCCCCCCCACAAGCTGGCGCCAACCTTCCTCCACCGTCTGATCTTGGCTCGGCGACGTGGGTGGCCATCCGGCCCTGTGAGTATATACTCACACTATATGCTATGAGCAGGATAACTAGATTGTAGGCCCTAACCCCCCACTACCCAGTACCCAGCTCTCGTTCTCCACTCTCTACTCGCGTCACTGCAGCAACCAAGAAACCCTAAACAACTCTTCCCATTTCATTTGCGACTGCGCAGCCGCGTAGCCCACAATCGGCGACGGACTACCGCGGACGACGACTCCGAGTCGTGACCTTGCCTCCCCTATCGCGAGGTCCGGTCTCCCTCCCCTGCATCGCCTGCGCGAGCTCCGAGAGTCCAAGTCCGACTTCTCCCCGTCTCCCCTTCCCCATGGCGACCCGCGAGCTCCAGTTCCCCCTTCTTTTCTCGTCTCGACAGCTCCGGCCGCTCAGTATCTCTCCTGTTACTCAGCTGAGCGATTGAAAATCGCTTCTCCTTAACTCGCCAGCTCCGGCCGCTCTGAGTCTCCGACCAAGCGACACTTCCCGGCGTACAATGTAAGTCCCTACTTAATCTTTCCCTCTCTGAATCTCTGGTACTGAAACTGACCGTCTGAATCGATTCCTCCGCCCACCAATATGTGTTTCTTTTTTCTGCTTTCCAATTTGTTTATGTTTATTTGCTTCAATGATTTGTATATAGCATTTGTGAGTTGGGTACTGAATTTTGAGGTCTGATTGGAACCATTTGAAACAAACAGCTTCAACACAGGGTATCCAGATCCTTCGAGACCGGGAGCAATCCCTCAGAATATGCAGTTGTGACTAGGGCTGTCAATTTGGTTTGGTTTGGTTAACCAAACCATTAAGTATGAAAAACCAAAAACCAAAAACCAAATCAGCAAAAACCAAAACCAAAACCATTAAGGTCCTTATTGGTTATTGGTTACCAATAACCAATAAGGACCTTAATGGTTTTGGTTTTGGATAACCAAAAAACCAACATGTACTCATACACTCATATTTATTTCTATTTCCCTTTTTTTATTGAATAAATGTCATAATAATGATAAATGATAAAATGACCATTATAAATTATTGGTTGGCATGCATATCTAAAGAAACAATAAAAAAAAATTCATGATAAATAATTTTATTATTATTATTTGTACATTCTTATAAAAAATAGTATATATATGGTTCACAATGAATCAAGGAAACATGTTATTGTTTTTCTTATTTTAAATGGATGTCATGGATTGAACAGAAACCCTTTTGAGAGTCTCTTTCAGGTCTGTGTCTTTGATACGAGTTAGGAAGGAAGGAAGTTAGTCTTAGCCATGGTTTTGGGGCTCGTATTTATGTCCCCTGTTGGTTGCTTTTATATAAGTTGTCACCTAATAACATTATACTACAAATGGTCTTACCAACATTTTATCCTTCCAGTAATACATTTAAGACTAATAACATCCACAATGTCAACTTTGGGTAACAATATTAAAAATCAACATCATTCTACCTTATCGGACTCTATATCCACACAAGTCTCATCATTCCCATCAGAATCCTCATCAAAATAAACTTCTTCGACTTGTGACCCAGTAGGACTCGAGATCGGAACATGAGCAGAATGTGAGCTTCCACTAGGTTCTGCAGGTGCACTTGCACTTCGAGTTTGAAAAGCTGCAAATACTAGATAACATAAACAATAACTTGTTAGAATATGATTTCATTACAATAACAAATATAAGAATAAACATAAGTTCTTACCATTCTGAAATACAACTTCATCACACTCATCTTCTCCATCAGCCACCAACTCAGAGTTAGCAGATCTTATCCAATCTTCACAGCAAATCAAAGCCTCCACAACTTCAGGGGATAAGGAGGTCCTAAACGAATCTAAAACTCGACCTCCTGTACTGAATGCCGACTCAGAAGCAACCGTGGAAATAGGAACAGCGAGAATATCCCTAGCCATCTCAGAAATAATAGGATATTTCATCCCACTTCGCGACCACCATCCCAAGATGTCAAACTTATACTCATCCTCTTCAGAACCCATCATTGCTCGTGTAACCTCCTCATCATCCTCCTCCTCCTCAAGGTACCTATCAAACTCAGATTTGCAACTTTTTCTAGTTCCTTTCCGAATGGCCTCTCTTTTCTTTTTCCTGAAATCATCCCAAAACTTTCCTTTCTTCTTCCCATCCCCACTTCCACTAGGTTCTTGCTCACCTTCTTGAATCACAATAGGAGAACTACTATGAAGTCCGATCCTATGCTTGTAATGGTCAAACAGAGCACGCATTTCATCTTTCACCTCATCGGCCAAAGCTTTCCCCCTACTTTCACCATATACCTTCTTCAAAGCTTCTTCAAGATATTCCATTTTGCGCCTTGGATCTAATATGACTGCCATATAGCACAACCGATTGATCTTGGAATTCTCCCACTCTTCTTCAAACCAATACTTGGCAAGTTTGGACTTGATTCTCTCAGCCATGCAACCCACCTCAAAATCAATACTATCAACCCACTCAGAAATCGTAGTATAAATTTCACATATTTCATCAAATAAGAGGTGTAAAGTTACATATGAAGTCCCAGAAACTCGAACAGTCACATCATAGAAGAGCTTCAGGTAACTAATCAACCGTCCGACACTTGACCAATCATCAGAAGTTGGGATACCAAGGCTTTGATTTCCATATTTTTTTTCATTGAGATGTTTCTTGAAATTCTTCTCATTTCTGGCTAATGTCTGAAATGCTTTCTCAAATGGCTTTGCAGATTCCAACATCAGATACGTTGAGTTCCACCTTGTAGCTACATCCAACGAAACAAATTTCTTCGACACTATCTTTTCAAACTCAATGCAATCTTTGAATTTTCTGCTCCTAGTTGGTGTAGATTTAACCCACTTCACTGACTCTCTCACTCGCTCAACAGATATACCAGTTTCTTTAAGCCCATCCTTCACAGCTAAATTAATAATATGAGCCACACACCTCATCTGCAGATACTTTCCATCCACAATATCTGATCCCCACTCTTTCAACTGTTGCCTCATATGGATAGCAACCACATCATTAACACTAGCATTATCCATTGTGGTACAAAAGACCTTCCTAATGCCTCAGTCCACCAAACAACTAGCCAACTGTTTTCCAATTTCATTTCCAGAATGTTTTGTTATCTGAACAAAGTTGATAATTTTCTTATACAGCTTCCAATCCCTACCGATGAAATGTGCAGTAACACACATGTAGTTGAGATTGGACAAAGACGTCCACCAATCAGTTGTGAGAGATACCATCCCCAAACATTTAGCTTTGAAATAATCCTTTAACATATCTCTGTTTTCAAAAAACACCTTGATGCAATCTTCTCTAACAGTTTGTCGGCTAGGCAGCACAAACATAGGACAAACACGGGACATAAAGCGTTTGAACCCTTCATGTTCAACGTATCTAAATGGCAATTCATCTAGAATTATCATCTCCGCTAAAGCTCTCCTAGCATCAGTCTGATTAAATTGCCAAGAACCAAGAGTGTGTACCTGGCCTTCAAAAGATGACGGAAGCTCGACTACAAGATCACCCCTTGCTATCTTTGCCAAACAATTATCCTTGTGGGTCCGTAGAGTAGATGTCCCGTTAGCTACAAGAGCACTATTGCAGTAGTTGCATCGAGCTTTTTTCACTCCACCCATCTCCAAGTGTGTGAAATGTCTCCAAACATCAGATCTGTCTTTCCTTTTTTTCGATGTTGTCACCCCACCTTCTGTTTGAGCATTGGGTACTGTGGTGGTACCGAAAGATGGTGCAAAAGTGGAGGAAGACGTTGCAGGAGGTCTAGGCGGAATACTGGTGCTTTTGGGGTGCCCACTTCTAGGACGAGCACCACTAGATGAAACATTTTGTGATAATGGTATCTCACTGTTCCTGCCAATATCAAAAGTGAATTTGTATCAAAATCAAGTACATAATCACTTGGCCTAACATCACACCCTGAAACAACTTGTCCATTTCCTAGACTTAGACCTAAAACTTCACAAAGCTACTCGCCAGCTTAATTATGATTTATTATGAAATCATAGTTATGTTTACCATGGGACATATAACAAATATATCAACAGCCAAACCCGTTTATCCTTACATAGTGTCTGAATTTTGTCTTTACAGATGATCTCAGCTAGCAATTAATGCACACACTGACCCAATCCCATTGAACTCGTCAAGAAAATGGACGAAACCAAGTCATAGTGAAATCGGTTAACTTTAGCTGATAAAAGACATTCTCCAGTGGAAAGCTACTTGATGATGAACAATATTATATGATATACTCTATATAAAAATCAAGCTAAGGAAAATTCCAAAACTGATATCCAGCTTCAAGGACAAATGTTCATAGTGCATAATGAAAGTGCTGATTTTTCATAATTAAATCAACCGGCATCAAGAAATTTGGACTCTCAAAGTTAACCTGAATCATTGATCCTCTAAGGCACTCAGTGCTGCAGTATTAACTTGGATTCCCCCATACGTCACTTCACACAATTACATTTTAGCATTACTCAACTCAACAAGTATTATGCTTTCGTGTTGCCTTTCCTACTACTGCGTGCTGCTGTTTGTTTTGCCAGGAATCAGCTAGCTAGCATGCTTATATATATAGACTGACGCATGCAGCTAGCAGCCTGGGCGGACCACAAGAATGGCATCTACATATCGCTTAATTACACTAGTAGTAGAATAATTAACTAAGTATATGCCTTTTGGTTTACACGCAACCAACCAATGCTAAGAAAAAGCAGCAAGCTACCTAGCACAGCTTCCTTCCTTCTATTTTCTTATCTTCTCATCCTAGTAGTAGAATCCAATGCGGAAACCGAAATCAGACATTTCAACAAATTCCCATACCATCTAAGCTACCAAGCTGCACAGAACTAGCCTACAATCAAGGACAACAAGCAATCAATTTTCCCTGTCTGCTTTTGAAACAGAACAACTTCAAAGCAACCAGGAAATATAAACAGAGTCGCCACCCAGAAAAAGTCAGGGGAGCTTGAATGAAAGCCACAAACAGAGTCACTATAAAATATGGCAGAAACGAAACCCAAATCCAAAAATCCAGCACATAAACCATGCTTTAGCCAACAACCAAGCCCCAGAAACGAAACCCAAATCCAAAAATCAACAAACCGAATAGGGGAAGATAGATGAAAGCAAGCTATGTGAGGGACTCACTGAGATTCCATTGAACAAAGGCGGCAAGTTTAGAACAGAGTATGGAGTAGGAGAGGAGTTATTCGCCGACGACCCAGTTCTCTCCAATCGACGACCCAGAATATGCTCAAGCTGGACAATGCCCACCCATGGAGTTTATCGCCGACCCAGTTCCTCGAGCTAAGAATCAACGGCCACAAAGCAGCAACTCAGGTTTCCGCCTATGCCAAAGATAGTCGGCTTCAGAGCAACGAGAAGAAGAGAGGTGCCTCGAAAGGGTTCTAGGGATTCAGAGCAACGAAAAGATTCTGAAGAGAGGTGCCTCGTGCGCAGCCGCAGGCGAGAGCATTTCGTTCGAAAGGGGTTTAGGGATTTCGAAGGGTTCTAGGGAAAGAGTTGCGCGAGCGTTTCGTTGAAAGGGGTCGTTTCGTTGATATTGGTTTCTTATTGGTTTTTCAGTTTTAACCAAACCAAAACCATTAAGTTGCTTAGTGGTTTAAAACCAAAAAACTGAAACCATTAGCTTTCCAATTGGTTTGGTTATGGTTAAAACCAAAAAACCTAAACCAAATGGACAGCCCTAGTTGTGACTGCACATCACCGCAGAATGGAAATTCAGGGCCATTGAATTGAGGCTTTGCTCCCAAACTTGCTCCTGTAGGTATGATACCTCTTCCAACCTTTCATAAAAATACTTTTACCTGAGGAGGAATGTCCATTATTTAGGGTTAGGGGTATGGTCACAGTCCATGCGGTTTGCATTAGCTCCATTGATACTCCGATATAGGAGGTAGGCAGACTTAACCCTAATCACACCAATAGGGGTTTCGTTCCAGACTAGAGAATCTTCAACGCCTTGGTCCGGGTGGGAATCTGCCTAATTATCTGTTGATCCGATTCGTCGAAAAATGAATGCAGTTTTGATTGATCCCTGCCTCTAGAATTTGGGTCAATCAAGTTGTCTACCATGGCTGAAAATCATAGATCCCCAACTGTGGTTGGGTCTATAATTTGCTTTATCTAGCAGCCACTTATCATACCACATCACTATTTGTTTTCGATGCCCAACCCTCCGGCAAGTTCCTTCCTCCAGAAGTGCTCTAGCTCCCATTAGACTTTTCCAGACATAACTTGCTTTGGGATTAGCCCGAGCATCGAGGATTGATGAGTTGGGAATTTATTTTGCTTTTAGGATTCTAGCAGCAAAAGAGTGAGGCCTTATGCCCTTATTAAAGGCTCTTAAGTCTCAGAATCATATTCATCATTGTTCTTTTTCATCACACAGGCGATTCCAGCTGAGCCAGTGAATATTCTCCTCCTTTTTTTGTCCCTACCAAACCGAGCAATCAAACTCGGAATTTAATGGATCAATCCTTCCGGTAACTGAAACACGTACATCAGATAAGAGGAACGAGAGCCCTTTTGCGCTGCGGGTTTTCTGTGAAAAAATCGGCAGGTCTCGCTCAACGGTGGTTTCGCGGTGGGTTTCTGTTGGTTCTCTGACTTAGAAAGCTTCATACTTCTACAGTGAGTAGACTCTTGCTATTCCTACATTATCATACTTCATATCATCTTCTAATATCGTAGCTTTGTAGATCTAGGGTTTGTTTTTTACATGATGAACTGATTATATTTTTTTACTGCTCATTGGTTGGATTATGAGACATTTGCTCTCAGCATTGAAAGATAAAAATAGTTGTCTGAATGGCTTCTGACAACTGTTTGCCGCCAATAGACTCACATACTCTGTCTCTCCCCCTTGCTGGTCGCTAGCAAGCCAGTGACTACTGTTGGCTACTGCTTCTTCTGTGGTTTGGTTTATGCCTTCGTATTTTCTTTTCTTTCTTTTTTTATGTGTTCTGACATTTCATTTTTTTAGGACCAATTCGAGGTGTCTGAGTTGATTTTAGAGGAGACCTAACTTCTAAGCATTAATTTGTTTGCTAATGGACAATGTTGGTAGTAGCAGCTCTCGGAAAAGGAGGGATCCTACTCCTACTCATTCTCCTACTATCCCCAATGTAAGTCTATATGTTAATAATTTCATAGAAGTTTGGATTAAAAGCTTGCTAGTTTGTTTTGGTTAAATTGTACTCATTTAGGAACTAATATGCTATTCTAACAATATGAGAGCGATGACAAGCGACAATTACGAAAATACCTGAATGACACTTTAGAGTCTGATCTAAAGCTCCGTTTGAAGACTTGCCTTGACCTAAAGATAGAAGTATTCACTATTTGCTCACACTTTTGAAGTTTCTTTCAAACCGTTTCTTTCATATCTAATTTATGTTTTCTTTCTTTTTTGTTCCTTGATGTTAAAGTCGTGACCCCTCAGTTTAGCCGACTACCTAAAAAGTATTGAAAAAGTCAAGATTTTGTTCAAAAAACAAAGAAATGGAGGGGACAAATGCATCTTAACCTATGACGGCAAAACTCTCTTTAGGTAATCCTTCCTCTTTTGCTCTCTACCCTTTCTGTTTTCAACGAATTTTGAGCACAAAGATGTCGGGAAGGACTGTAGTACTCTAACATTCCTTTGAACTTCAAGCAGAAATATATCTCATATTTACAAATCCTTGATTCAAACCGGTAGTTTAAAACTCAAACTTTTGACACACTATACACTAGAGGATCATTTTCTCTTAAGGATTTGATCCTTAAGAGAAAATGATCCTCTAGTGTATAGTGTGTCAAAAGTTTGAGTTTTAAACTACTGGTTTGAATCAAGGATTTGTAAATATGATATGTATTTCTGCATTAAGTTCAAAGGAATAGGGTGTCACAGTTCTTCCCGACATCTTTGTGCTCAAAGCTCGTTGAAAACAGAAAGGGTAGAGAGCAAAAGAGGAAGGATCACCTTAAGAGAGTTTTTTCGTCATGGGATAAGATGTATTTGTCCCCTCCATTTCTTTGTTTTTTGAACAAAATCTTGACTTTTTCAATACTTTTTAGGTAGTCGGCTAAAATGAGGGGTCACGACTTTAACATCAAGGAACGAAAAAGAAAGAAAACATAAATTAGATATGAAAGAAACGGTTTGAAAGAAATTTCAAAAATGTGAGCAAATAGTGAATACTTCTATCTTTAGGTCAATGCAAGTCTTCAAACGGAGCTTTAGATTAGACTCCAAAGTGTCATTCATGTATTTTCGTAATTGTCGCTTGTCATCGCTCTCATCATGTTATAATAGCATATAAGTTCCTAAATGGGTACAATTTAACCAAAATCGACTAGCAAGCTTTTAATTCAAACTTATATGGAATTATTAACATATAGACTTATATTGGGGATAGTAGGAGGATCCCTCCTTTTTCCGAGAGCTGCTACTACCAACATCGTCCATTAGCAAACAAATTAGTGCTTAGAAGTTGGGTCTCCTCTCAAATCAACTCAGACACCTCGAATTGGTCCTAAAAAAATGAAATGTCAGAATACATCACAAAGACAATACCATCACCAAACAAAGAAAAGAAAATACGAA